CCTGCCCTGTGCGGAAAGCGGCAATAGTTTCCTGCATCAGAAACTGCATTATAATGCTTACCTATCAAGGTTGTAAGGTTGTATGGCGATGGTGATGGTGGCAGCCAGGCCACAGCAAGAAGGAAGATAAAGAGTACCGCAAAAGAACTTCAAGAACAGCGGATGCGGGCTGCACGACCATAGCGGATGCAATGGTAGACATGGATGGGGGCGGAGAAGATCAGAACAAGTGCTCTTAAAGTTCCCCGTAACAGTAGTTGAGTCACTAATCGTGACAGCGGGTCCTTGTGTTACACGTGTTGCGTACTCCAATTCAGGCCAACCAAAGCCTCAGCTCAGGAGTGTGCAGAGCCCATCACAACAACGAAACCACAGGGGCGGGGTGGGGATGCAGGGGGAAGGGTACGGTACCACCACCCCAATTGGGGGAGCGGGGGTGAGGATACCATGTGCTGGGGGGGAGGGGGGGGGGGTGTGGCAGCCCTGCATCTTACATACATGCATACATACAGACATACACCCACATACATGCATTCATGCATACACACATACACCGCGACGCCCATGCCTACATGCATTGTTACCAACATACATGCATTCATGCATGTCTGTACACATACCTGATACTTGCATACTTTTATTCTTAAACATGCTCATAATGTTCATCGCAAACATAGTCATAACTAGTCGTCATCATCATCACAGCCGTAGCTGTACTCAAAAACCCAAATCCATAAACACATGCAGACCAACAGATGTAAATTCATACATACTTACGTGCGTACGTACATAACTACAGACAGACAGCGACAGACAGGCGGGCAGGCAACCCCGATAGTATGGCATACAAATGGGCATTGTTACAGGGAGTGTTCGTGCCTGTCACCGTCTCGGACCTTTGGATATCGAAGGGTGTTTCAGACAAGCTTTGTGCCCCATTTAGGTGCCCTGATGACAAGGATTATCCAACTACTTAGAACTCTATACTTCATGAGGGCCCTCATCATGCACTGCTTAAGGTTCTATGTTTGGGGTCCTTGTTGTCTAAAACTTCCGAAGCGCCGACAGTCCTTGCAGAGGGCTCGGGTACGTATGCACATAGTACACATGCACACACTTACTAGCGCAAGCTGTCAAGAGGGACTGGGAAGTGTGTGGTGCAATAAAAGCCGGCTAAGTTTTGGCAGCAGTTCATGCAGCACCGATGCTAGATTTGCCAACTAGCCTCGGAAGCATGCTCAAAGCAAGTTGTAGGATTGAGGGTCAGTATGCTGAGCCTGGCACGCCAACCACGGAGTTTCGCACCTTACGAGACCCGGCCCGTAATTCGAATGTAGGGCCTTGGTATTTACCAATACGTAGGAATACGATTCCTTTGAACTCCCGGTTCTGGGCATGCGAACCTACCCCAAAATCTAGGGCCCATTACTATTCGGTTAGGCTTCTCTTTGTCCGAGAGTTCTCTAGCACACCGTGTACGAAAGGGAAGCCCATGCACGACATTCTTTCTGGGCCTTGTTTGGAAGGCTAGCCTTGCAAAACCCCAAGGCCTAAACAAGTTCTAGGGTATAGGGTTCAAGGTTTGAGGTTAAGAGTTTGGGGTTGGGTATAATCTTAACTGTAGATCTCCCTGTCTTAAGATGGTCACGGCAGGCTGCGACGACATAGGTTCTGGGGAACTCGAAGGTATGGAGCAGGAAAGAAGGATTGAAAGCAGGATGGACAAACTCGCTTTCTGTCTGCACTGGTGCAGCACGCAGTGCAGTCAAAACGGCAACTTCAACAACCACGCCTTGCACATGGAAGTTCTGACACCTCAGGTGCCTCTGAGACAGCAACTCCGATTCAAAGAATTCGCTGTCTTGGAACTGCCCTAAAGCTTGGGGTAGCTCGAATCTGAGAGGATGCCGCACATCCCACAAACTGGGAGGGAGGACGGGCCTCCACGGCATCCGACTCCAACCTTCGGGTCGTAGTCGGTGCCACAAAACCCATGGTGTCCCCCGTTGGACTCATCCCCATCATGGCGCAGCAAACGCATGTAGCCTTCCTCGCCCCAGTCGGCACCCCACGAGTTTCGAATCAGCCAATACTTCTGTCCCTTCCTCAGTTGCAAGAACGCACAACAAAAGCATGAGGGTTGGACTTGACTGGTCTTGGGCATCGTGGCGTGCGACCGCTACTCTCGACAGTGTAAGCTGTCGGGTTGCTTGTCCTGGCCATAGCCAACTAGCAGGACTGCGTGGTTGATGGTGGCGTCCTGTGCACCATCAAACTTCTCCTTACTAGGCCAGTTGGAGCTTTATTCGGTCCCGGGTCCTTCTGACAGCCGTTGAAAATGCCACCATCGTAGATTGTCCATGCCTCCGCATCCACGGATACGACTGCAGGGCCCTTCTCGGACAAAGTGGTAAGGAGCGGCAGCAGCTGGTTTTCCTGCAGGGCGGAGATCCTAACATTATATGATAGAATATCTCCTAATGCCACAGCACTCAGAGTAAGGTTGTTCGCTGGTCTGAATGGGATAATCTCAACGCGCTATGTGCAGGAGCCCACTTCCATGAAACGAGGCAATGCGAAGGTGGGCAAATGTGCTGGATTTCTGATTTTACAATGAGTGAAGAGTATATGGCGAGACACTTTTCACGGCCCAAGGGTGCACTATGCAGATGCACGGGTGGTTTTGTGGCGTGAAGCTACATGCTTCCACTCTATCAGCCATTCCAACTACTTCATCCACCTCCTACTCCGGATGCGCTCATGATAACCGATCATACGAGCATGACAGCCATGTCCTTACGAAGCCGGCTGGCATTCCATAGCCAGAAGCTATCACTCGCTAAAATTCACTCCCATGCCCGAACCAGCCGAAACTTCCAAGAAGCCCACCGCTGTACATGATGAATGCCTGTGTGTATGCAACATATATATGCATGCATGCAGGCTTGTATGTGAACTCGCCTGCACACGCACAAATACATATCGATTCATTTGTTTCATGTGTTACCATACAAGTATGCTGCAATGTAAGTGTCAAGAACACAAACAGTGTACGCACCCTATGTATAAGAAAACAGTTACCATATGTAATGTAGGTATGTTATATTATATATATAGAGAGAGAGAGAGAGAGAATCATACATCCACACAATCCATCCATCCACTGTTTCCGTGAAGACCCCGGCTCTCCGGTAGCTTGACGAAACCTCTCGTGTTCAGGACCGATGTCGGCTGCCTGCTTCGGGAGTTTGGCTGCTACTTTTATTGACGGCGGGAGGATGGGGCTTTAGGGCATAGCTTGTAGAGAGAATAGCTGCAACTTTAGCTAGGGGCAGTCTCTGCGCGCTTAAATTGCGACCAGAAAATGAGAGCTTGGAGTACTACAAAGTGGAGACGCGAGCTGGAACTCTTTTGACTCGACCTGCGGCAGAGATTGGAAACCATCAGGGCTGATGCCACAATCCCCTTGACATGGGGCAGCTCTGTTCTGGATCTTCTGGCTCCTATATTCCTGTCGCGAAACACCTTCGACATTCCACGGAAACCTCTTCTGTGCCAGAGGACGAAGACTATGGGGGTGTAAGTTTTAGGGATTCAGGCGGCCATTGGGAAATCCTTATGCTGAGCGGAAAGCATCTCTGTTGCCCTCTTCGTCCCGAAAACCACCCAAGCACACAGAGCAGCATACTATTTGGTAGTAAACCTCCCTACGGAAACCAGGTCTCTCTGATCTTTTGAAAAGCCGATTTCATCAAGTCAAAGGCTCATGGCTCTCTGCACCCTATTTGTGTATCTGTATAATTACGAGGATGCGTTGTGCACAGCGGCTGGAGTCTTGCAGCTTGCTAGCCTGCACTTGTCATCCACCTCCGAGTCTTTGTAGTCGTCCTACATGCGATGGGTGGTTCGAGGGCGCTTGGGTCAATAACGCTGAGTGCGGCCGAACTTCGGGGCTTTCTTGGGTTCTTGCAGCTTCCGGGTATCTGGTCTAGTCCAGCGTGCTGCGGCCTGTGAATCGAGTTGTGGTCTTCGGTTTCGGGGTTTAGACTCCACCCTCCCATTCGGACAGCAGGGCTCTGTCGGAGCATAGGCTTAGAAGGGTGCTGACACGTCCGCGGAACCCAACAACACAAACAAGCTCTAATCTCTAATCAGTCCGCCTCCTAGAAGTAAGAGCAAGACGCAAATCCCCAACCCTAGCTTCAGCGAAACTTCTGAGAGTGAGGCCTTCCGGTTCGGATTGCTCTGTCGTAACGGAGGGCTTTCTATGGAAGACCCTCAGTCCTGCACTCCTGCTTCCAGCATAGCGAACTAAGCCCCGACAAACCCGAAAGACCCGAAACAGTACCAACTCTAACTGACACCGTCACAAGACCATGATGAAGCCCTTAAGGAGCCGTATGTAAGTGGGCCTCAACTGCAAGGACAAAGCAAGTGATGCGAGGTCCTCGCTAGCAATCCCATTCTGGTGCACGTACTGAAAGGCCAACTCTGCCTGACATCGGAGCGGTCCAAGAACAAGGCACTTTTGATTCATATACGAAGAGCTTTTCAGATTGTATGGGGTTTGTAGTCCCCATACAATGTGGGACAAACTATGTTATGGGGTTCTATAACGTTCAGCGAGAAGACGAGCCAGATTCAAGGTGAATTCCAACACACAGGCTGCATTTCGGCCTTCGTGGTCGTCGTGGATCCGCTGGCAAAAGCTGGGTTCGAGAATCTACTGCAATGTTTTTTTTGCGAGCATGTTCAGTAGAGGATATTACGATTTTGGCTGCGGATTGCGGTGCTAGTAATGCTGTTGAGAGGTTCAAGTTGGCGGGGGTTAGAGTTATAGAGTTCTTCGCACTTCGGAGTAGAACGGTTAGAGGGCTTTCAGTTTAGGGATTGGGCAATTACGGGATTGCGGTCATTGGTGTTTGTTGATCTAGGGTCTAGCATGCAGGCTTGAAGCCCTGGGGATTAGTTAGTTTGTTTGTTTTTTTCCGAGGGGGGGTGGACATGGGTGGGTTTCGGCTTTCAGGATTATGTGCGTGATGAGGACATTGAGGCTTGACGGTTCATGCTGAGCGTTCGCATGCCCGGCCAACCTCACAACAAGGTCCAGAATCGGATCGCAGTCGGATCGGATCGATCGGGTCGGCCCTAAACCCTAAACCCCTAAACCCAAAAACCCAAAATTGATCTGCCAAGCGGCTGTAGCCCCCGAGCAGCCACCATCACCGCCGCAATGCTTAGGATTTGGTGTGCAGTCCTTGCGATGTGCCGTTTTAGGGTTGAGGGTCTTTAAGGGGTGTTTAGAACGTTTAGGGCTTTTCGGGCTATAGGGCTGTTACGGTTGAGGACTTTAGAGTACGGGGTTTTGGGATGTGTTATTTGGGTTAGAGCTACTCCGGATGTTCTGGGTTCAGGGAGCTCCTTCCGAGGTTGAGGGTCCACATAATTGTCGCGTAGCTGTGGTGGCAGCATCGGGAGGAAGAGTCCCGTCGACTGTTTGCCCATAATCAGCTTCGGGCAAGGAGACGGCCGAAAAATGAAATTTCATGTCATGGGATACGCACCTTTCTTCGGGCAGGGGGGCAGCTAGATCGTCATAGGCGTTTGGCCGAGGGTCCAACAGCTGGCTGAAAGACAATCGCGTGGGGCTCGCAAGCTTCTTGTGGAGCTCTGCCTGGAGGGGAGTAGCCAAGGGTGCACAGCGTTCTGAAGCTGTTGGCAGCTATGCATCAGCAAAGGCGGCTTGGATAAGCTTGAGCTTTTACGGACTGTGCCTTGCACGGTGGGTGGCAGCTGGGTGCCTAACTCATGCTCTTGCAAGTCCCATCACCACAGCAAGTCGCACTGCTACCGCTGCTTCACTATTGCACCGCCTGCGCTTCACTAGACTACACGACACGACACGATGACTACTGCTACTGCTGCTGCTACTACAACCACCACCACCA